TTCCTATTCTCCATCCTGTCTTTTCCTGGCTAGCCATTTCCTATATATTTTATGGCTTCTCTTCTTCCTTTCTCAGACCCAGCTATTTTTGCCTACATATTTCCTTTACATCCTTTCTTTATGTTATCTCTTCCTGACTCTCACCAATTGTAGGTTTAACTGACTCTGAAGATTTATCATATTGATGCCTATTTATCAGGGGGGAGGCGCTGACTTCCCACAAATGTAAGCTGCCCAGGGTCACTGAGATTGGGAGGGGGAGGGGGGGCAAATAAATTCAATCAATCAATCAATCTGTTGGGAGAATTTCCCTGGGTTCCTTTCTTCCGCGCTGGTCCCTGGGAAACATAAGCATCCATAAAATCAAGGCCCAGAGGCTGGCTGCTTGGGAAGGGGGTCTCTGGGGGGTGGTCCTTGGTGTTCTCTGAGCTTTCATTCATTCATTTAATCAGAATAGAGCTGGAAGGGACCTTGGAGATCATCTAGTCCAGCCCCATGCTCAAGCAGGAGACCCTGTACCATTGCTTGGAGGTCTCCACTGTTTCGTCCAAAAACAACACAGGTAGTCCTCGACTTACAACCACAATTGAGCCCAACATTTCTGTTGTTAAGTGAGACATTTGTTAACTGACTTTTGACCTATTTTACGATCTTTCTTGCCACAGTTGGCTGAGGAATTCTGGGAGTTGAAGTCCACAAGTCACAAAAGGGCCACATTTGAAGACCCCTGATCTACAATATCATACACCAGGAACAATATACATACATGTGTTAATACAGCAGTCTCCAACACACAACAGTTACAGCAGGAAACAGAAGAGAGGAGCACAATCTACGGAGCCTTCCTTTTTATACAAAGCTCTTAAAAGGACACAGACCCAGCTGGCTCTTAAAGGGACACAGACCCTGCTGAGTCATTCCCATCATTATATCATAAATCTCACATTACATCAGCTGGTTAGCTTCTAAATCATTAACTTGACAGCTGTGCTTTCCCCCCCCTCCCCCACCCCCCTTTGAGCAGATGCAGGACTGATCTGGTTTCATTTTTCCCGGTGGTGATCCAGACTGCAGGCCTCAAGACAGGAACCTCAGATGGCGCAGGAAAGACGGAGGTCCGTTGGGCTGCCCGCCCCGTGCATCCTGGGCATCGATCTGGGCACCACATCCGTAAAAGTGGTCCTGGTGGAAAAAACGAATAAGGTCCCCACCCTGGTTGCCAGCTGCACCAAGCCGGTGCAGGCCGATGTGCTCATCAAAGAGGCTCAGTTGCGGGTAAGGTGAATAGAGAATAGAGTTTGATGGGACCTTGGAGGTTATCTAGTCCAACCACCTCCTCAAGCAGGAGAACCTATACCATTTCAGATAAGTGACTGTCTAGTCTCTTCTTCAAAACCTCCAGTGATGGGGTGCCCACAACTTCTGGAGGCAAGCTGTTCCACTGGTTAATTGTCCTCACTGTCAGGAAGTTTCTCCTTAGTTCCAGGTTGCTTCTCTCCTGGATTAGTTTCCATCTGTTGCTTCTTGTCCAGCTTTCATCTGCTTTGGAGAATAGATAGATCCTCTCTTCTTTGTGGCAGCCCCTCAAATACTGGAATACTGCTATCATGTCCCCCCTAGTCCTCAGAATAGACTAGAATAGACTAGACTAGACTAGACTAGACTAGAATAGAATAGAATAGAATAGAATAGAATAGAATAGAAATTAAACAGAATAGAATATAGAAATAGAATAGAATAGAATAGCAATTAAACAGAATAGAATATAGAAATAGAATATAGAAATAGAATAGAATAGAGTAGAGTAGGAATTAAACAATAGAATATAGAAATAGAATAGAATAGAATAGGAATTAAACAGAATAGAATATAGAAATAGAATATAAAATATAGAAATAGAATAGAGTAGAGTAGAATAGAATAGAATCTGGAAGGGACCTTGGAGGTCTTCTAGTCCAGCCCCCCTCTCAAGGAGGAGAACCTATAATATCTCAGGCAAGTGACTGTCCAGTCTCTTCTTAAAAACCTCCAGTGATGGAGCGCCCACGACTTCTGGAGGCAAGCTGTTCCACTGGTTAATTGTCCTCACTGTCAGGAACTTTCTCTTTAATTCCAGGTTGTTTCTCTCCTTGATTATTTTCCATCCATTGCTTCTTGTCCTGCCTTCTGGTGCTTTGGAGAATAATTTGGCCCCGTCCTCCTTGTCGCGGCCTCTCAAATCCTGGAATGCTGCTATCATGTCATCATGTTTGAATAACTGGTGGGAAAAGACACCCACCCAAGAAAGTCTCTTCAGTTGTCTTTCTCGTGCGTAAAACATTCATTCTCTCTTCTCGTTTGTCCCAAAGGGGCTTTTTTCAAAAGGCGAGTGGACTTCCTTGTTTCTCTTTGAAGACGTTTCACTTCTCATCCCAGAAGCTTCTTCAGCTCTGACTGGGATGGTGGGGAATGGAAGGATTTATACTCCTTGCAGACAGCTGGTCCTTTGCCTTCTTTTAGAGAGTCGTTGAGGCCACTTGGAGATTTACCTGTGTCCTCAGGGTCACCTGAGTGGTGCAAATGGGTGTGGAGCCTTCTCGGCTGCAGGATGTTTTCTGTTGAAGACAGGCACATAGGCTGTTGCGGACGAGTCTGTTTCTTCTCCTTTATTTTTCCCCAATGTATTCTTTCTCCCACCTAGAGGAAGTGAGGTAAGCGTCATCTCAATTTAAATAAATAAATGAATTCTTTCTTTCTCTCGCAGGAGAACGAGCAGGATGTCCACAGAATCATTGAAGCTTTGAACAGTTGCCTAGTGTCTTTTTCTCCGGCTTTTGTGGAAAGAGTTTGCTGCATTGGCGTTTCTGGACAGATGCACGGGGTGATGTTTTGGGAAGCCGGGAAAGGTAAGATTTAGAACACAGAAAGCAGAATAACACGGTTAGGAGGGACTTGGGAAGTCTTCTAATCCAATCTAGAATAGAATAGAATAGAATAGAATAGAATAGAATAGAATAGAATAGCATAATGAATAGAGTAATAATAGAATAGAATAGAATAGAATAGAATAGAATAGAATAGCATAATGAATAGAGTAATAATAGAATAGAATAGAATAGAATAGAATAGAATAGAATAGAATAGAATAGAATAGAATAGAATCAACCTGGCTTATTTATTCATTTGAAAAAAAAACACTCTTCATTTTTTTTTAAAAAAAACACGTATTTATGTTTTAAGAACTATCAATAGTTCTTTCTAAAGTCAGTGCTACGCGGATTTTGTGTTCCGTCAAAGGGAAGAAAAGGGTTGCGTTTTAAATTGTATTTTATTTTGATTTTGATTTAAATTAATGTATTTCCGTTCAATTCACCTCTGTTACTCAGTGGATCCGTTGTTAAATGAATCTCGCCCCGTTTTATGATGTTTCTTGCCACGGTTGTTAAGTGAATCAGTGCAGTTGTTAAGTGAAACCGGCTTCCCCCATAGACTTTGCTTATCAGAAGGTCATAAAAGGGAATCACGTGACACCCCCGGGACACTGCAACCGTCGTAAGTACGAGTCGGTTGCCAGACATCTAAATTTTGATCACGTGACCACGGAAATGCGGCGACGGTTGTGTGAGAAAAACGGCTATAAGTCGGTTTTTTTGGTGCTGTTGTAACTTTAAATGGTCACTAAACGAATCTGTTGTAAGTCAAGGACTGTTTAGTGCTACACAGGGGCCTTTGTGTGTCAAGGACGGCCGATACAATTCCAAGCATGGTTGTGGTCACTTTGGCACCTGGTGGTCCTTCACCTGCCTCTTCCAGGTTGCACATGGACCGAAAATGGAGGCCGGTGGACTTTTCAGCCGGACAAAGCCAGTCAGCTGATCACCTGGCAAGATGGCCGCTGCAGCCCCCAATTCCTGTCTTCCCTCCCTGCGCCTCAGTCGCACCTCAGCGTGGCTTCTGGATACGGCTGTGCCACCATCTTCTGGCTCTTAAAGAACAGGTAACTCTGCGGCCTAGTGGACAATCCCTTAAACAGGAGCCAGCCATGTGCGGCAGCTGCCAAAAAGGCCAACACAGTGCTGGGCTGCATTAACAGAGGGAGAGAATCAAGATCACGTGAAGTATTAATACCACTTTACAATGCCTTAGTAAGGCCACACTTGGAATACGGCATCCAGTTTTGGTCACAACGATGTAAAAAAGATGTTGAGACTCTAGAACAGTGATGGCAAACCTTTTAGAGACCAAGTGCCCAAACTGCAACCCAAAACCCATTTATGCATGGTCAGGTGCCGGGTGGGCATGGCCATTGGCTGGGTGTGGTCCATTGGCTGGGTGTGGCCCATTGGGTGGGCGTGGCTACGGTGGTAACGGCAGACTGGATGGGACTAAAAAGTTCAATCAATCAATTCCAACTTTGCAAGATCTTTTTTTTTCCCGCAAGAAGTTGAAATTGATTGATTGAACTTTTTTTTTTTTGTACACGGCGGTGGAGGCCTAAAGCGAAAAGGTTTTATAAAACCCAGCTGAAGACCTAGGACTGGGGTGATGGTGCGCGTGCCCACAGAGAGGGCTCTGAGTGCCGCCTCTGGCACCCGTGCCATAGGTTCGCCACCACTGCTCTAGAAAGAGTGCAGAGAAGAGCAACAAAGATGATCAGGGGACTGGAGGCTAAAACATAAAAGGAACGGTTGCTGGAATCGGGTAGGTCTAGTTTAATGAAGAGAAGGACAAGGGGGGGACATGATAGCAGTGTTCAAGGAAGGAAGGAAGGAAGGAAGGAAGGAAGGAAGGAAGGAAGGAAGGAAGGAAGGAAGGAAGGAAGCTGTGGTAGCGCAGTGGTTAGAATACAGTATTGCAGGCTAATTCTGCTGACTGCCGGCTGCCAACAGTTGGGCAGTTCAATTCTCATCAGCTGTAGGTCGACTCGGCCTTCCATCCTTCTGAGGTCGGTAAAATGAGAACCCAGATTGTTGGGGGAAATATGTTGATTCTGTAAACCGCTTAGAGAGGGCTGTAAAAGGTCCTGTGAAGCGCTATATAAATCTAAGTGCTATTGCTTGGGAAGGAAGGAAGGAAGGAAGGAAGATGGGAAGGAAGGAAGGAAGGAAAATGGGAAGGAAGGAAGGAAAACGGGAAGGAAGGGTGGTGACACAGTAGTTATAATGCAGTATTGCAGGCTGACTCTGCCCACTGTCAGAAGTTCAATCCTCACCGGCTCACCGTTGACTCATCCTTCCATCCTTCCGAGGTCGGTAAAACAAGGACCCAGATTGTTGGGGAGCAAAATGCTGACTCTGTAAACCGCTTAGAGAGGGTTGTAAAGCACTGCGAAGCGGTATATAAGTGCCATGGCTAGTGCTAGATCATTTATGCTGGTTTGCCAGATGCCTGAATTTTGATCACATGACTTTGGGATTGCTGTGACGGTCGTAAGTGCAGGGACCGATTGTAAGCAGCATTTTTAAATGCCATTGTAACTTGGAATGGTGGCAAGTAGGATAGCGGCAATTCAACTTTAAATACGGTTAAATTTATTCCATTTAAATTTGACATTCCATTTATACGCTGCCTATCTCCCTGAGCAGACGCTGGTGTTCACGGTTCCCAGGAAAAAACATTTTTTCCCCCAAAATAATTATTTATATATTCCATTTATAGGCCACCCACCTCCCTGAGATGGTCTTGATTGTTCCTAGATCTTTTCTTTCTTTATATATTTGTATAATAGTTTTATGCCAGTCAGTTTTTCCAATAGATGTAGAGTTGTACATCCATCTGTCTGTCTGTCTGTCTCTGAACTGTTTCTATTTCCTCTCTACCTAGGCCAGATTTCCTGGCACCCTACACTGCTGCTGGCACCATCCAGGATTATGTCGTAGCCATGCTGTGTGGCCGGGAGAAGCCACAGATGTCCGTGCAGAATGCCGCCGCCTGGGGATACTTCAGTACCATAGAAAAATCCTGGAATACTAAACTGTAAGTCTGCGGATGGCCTCAAGGGGACGCTGGCCACCCGGTACACCGTTTACACTACGATCTGTGCACTANGGTAGCTTGAAGAAGGGTGGATCAACTCCCAGAATCCCCCAGCCAACATGCTTTAAGATGGGTGGGCTTCCACTCCCAGAATCCCCTAGTCAGCATGCTTTAAGAGGGGCGGACTTCAGTTCCCAGAATTCCCCAGCCAGCCTGCTTTGAGAAGGGTGAACTTCCACTCCCAGAATTCCCCAGCCAGCCTGCTTTAAGATGGGTGGACTTCCACTCCCAGAATCCCCCAGTCAGCCTGCTTTAAGAGGGGTGGGCTTCCACTCCCAGAATTCCCCAGCTAGCCTGCTTTTAAGATGGGTGGACTTCCACTCCCAGAATTGTGCTTATACATTAAGGACGGCCCGTGTTATTCAGCCTCAACACACACACACACACACACACACACACACACACACAATTTCTACTTCTCTTTTTAGTTTGGAAGACTCTGGCTTTCCCATCCGTTTGCTTCCTGAAGTGGTCGATTCCGGAGACCTTGCTGGGGAAACCTGCCAACCGTGGCACCGGGTCCCAGCCGGAACCAAGGTTGGGATAGCCCTGGGAGATTTCCAATGCTCAGTTTACTCTTGCATGTCTGAAGACAGTGATGCAGGTAGCTGCCCCTGAAACCCCACGGAAATGTTGAACTTGACTAAGGCCAAATGCTTCTGCGTGGCAGGAAAATGTCGGCTTGTAAGAGACGCTGCGCTTGGTGCTCTCTGAGCTTTTTTTTTTTAATTGAAAATTTTATAAAATTTTACAATATAAAATTTTATAAAATTTTACAATATAAATCCCCCCTCCCCCAAACCCAACCCTCCATCCCTCCCCCCCTCACTTCCCAGAGCCAATCACAGGATTAACAATAAAATAATCATAATCTAACTAACATTAATCAACTATTAATCTAACAAATCTATAACTTCCTTTAACTCTCTTTTAAAACAAATATACAATTATTAAATACCATAATATTAACATAATTTTAAATATTAAAAATAAAACTAAATAACATTATAACATTATAGCTTGATGGTTTTCTGGCAGACGTTTCATGACCCAACTAGGTCCACAACCTTTTGGGCACCAGGGACCGGTTCCGTGGAGAGAGGTTTTCCCGTGGACTGGAGGGTGCGTGGTTTCGTGTGCTGCCTGCATCCCGCGGATGGGGCTTTGCTTGTTTGCGCGGCCCGGTTGCTGGCATGCCACGGCCCGGTGCCAGTCCACGGACCGGGGGTTGGGGACCCCTGAACTACTTTCCCCGAAAGTAAGGACGACACCAGGGGTAGGCAACCTCGGCTCTTTTATGACTCGTGGAATTCAACAAGAAGCAACGGGTGGAAACTCGTCAAGGAGAGAAGCAACCTAGAACTAAGGAGAAACTTCCTGACAGTTAGAACAATTAACCAGTGGAACAACCTGCCTCCAGAAGCGGTGAATGCTCCAACACTGGAAGTTTTTAAGAAGAGACTGGACAGCCATTTGTCTGAAATGGTGTAGGGTCTCCTGTCTGAGTGGGGGTTTGGACTAGAGGACCTCCAAGGTCCCTTCCAACTACTACTACTACTACTATTTTTTCTTCTTCTTCTTCTTCTTCTTCTTCTTCTTCTTCTTCTTCTTCTTCTTCTTCTTCTTCTTCTTCTTCTTCTTCTTCTTCTTCTTCTTCTTCTTCTTCTTCTTCTTCTTCTTCTTCTTCTTCTTCTTCTTCTTCTTATTATTATTATTATTATTATTATTATTATTATTATTATTATTATTATTATTATTATTATTATTATTATTATTATTATTACTATTACTATTACTATTACTATTACTATTACTACTACTACTACTACTACTACTACTACTACTACTACTATTATTAACTCCCAGAATTCCTGAGCCAGCCAGGAATTCTGGAGCCAAGGTTGCCTACCCCTGGCCTACACCAACCATAAGCCATAACTTGATTTTGTGGAGTGGGCCTAATATAAGCTCTACCCCAAAAATAAGCCCTAGTTTGGGGGCAAGGGGCACCCCTAAAAATCAAGCTAGGGGGGAGGTGGGAGTGTGGAGCTGTCCCACGCGCCCCACACCCGCTTCCCTTGTAGCCAGGCCTCCCCTCACCGGCCCACTTCTTCTTCTGAGGCCTCTTCTGCAGCCAGGCCTGCCTTTCTCAGTCACAGGCCTTTCCAGAAGGCCATTGCTCGGTCCTCGGCTGCTTAGGCCTTCTGGAAAGGCCTGACTGCAAAATCCAGGCCCGAATGGAGCTGCAGAATTTTGGCCCCAGAAGAAGCGGACCAGCTGGGTGGTGCTGGAGGTGAGGTAAGGCCTACCCCGAAAATAAGACCCGGTGCCCCTTTTGGAGGCAAAAAAATTAAATAAGACCCGGTTTTATTTTTGGGGAGACACGGTGAGTAACATCAGGACTGGAAGGAAAAGGGGCTTCTGGAGTGGAGGAGGAGGAGGAGGGCAACTATGGCAAGAAGGATCATAAAAATGGGGCAAAATTCGCTTAACAGCTATCTTACTTAGCAAGAGAAATTTTGGGCGGTAAGTGGAGTGCTATTTGTAAAAATAAATACATGAAATGCTTCGGCACTTGATTGAGTTGAGGAAGGGTTAGGCAGGGCCGCTGTGGAAAACTCATTTTTTTAAAAAGGCAGCCTCATTTTGGATTAATTCTTCTCCCTTTCCTCCCTCCCATCTCCCAAGTTCTCAACATCGGCACCTCGGCCCAGCTGGCGGTCCGCCTGCCGCCCGGGTTCCAGCCTGTGGAGGCTCCAGATCCAAAATCACCTGTGCAATATTTCCCATATTTTGACAACCGGTATCTGGCGGTGGCTGCTTCGCTAAACGGCGGAAACGTGATGGCCGCGTTCGTGAAGATGGTGGCTGGATGGATGGCTGAGCTGGGTAGGGTCTTTCAGGATGGGGATGGGCTTGGCCTAACTCTGGGAAGGCAATCCTTCCTTCCTTCCTTCCTTCCCTCCCCTTCCTTCCTTCCTTCCCTCTCTCCCTCCCTGTTCCCTTCTTTCTTTCTTCTCTCCCTCCCTTTTGTCCTTCCTCCCTCCCTCCTTCCCTCTCTCCCTTTTCTTCCTTCTCTCCCCTTTTCTCCTTCCTTCCTTCTTCCTTCCTCCCTCCCTTTTCTCCTTCCTCCCTTTCTCCCTCCCTTTCCCCTTCCGTCCCTCCCTCCCTCCCTTTTCCCTTCCTTCCTTCCCTCTTTCCCTTCCTTTTCCCCTTCCTCCTTCCCTTTTCTCCTTCCTTCCTTCCTTCCTTCCTTCATTCCTTCCCTTTCTCCCTCCTTCCCTTCCTTCCTCCCCCTTTTCTCCTTCCTTCCTTCCCTCCCTTTTCTCCTTCCTTCCTTTCCTTCCTCCCTTCCTTTTCTCCTTCCTCCTTCCCTTTTCTCCTTCCTTCCTTCTTTCCCTCCATTTTCTTCCTTCTTTCCTTCCTTCCTTTCTTCTCTCCCTTCCTTCCTTCCCTCTTTCCCTCCCTTTTCTCCTTTCTTCCTTTCCTCCCTCCCTCCCTTTCTTGGACTTCCTTGTGGTCGTAAGGCGAGGACTAACCCGTAGACTTCCTTGTGGTCGTAAGGCGAGGACTAACCCGTAGACTTCCTTGTGGTCGTAAGGCGAGGACTAACTCCTGCTCCACCTTCTCCCCTTCTTCCTTTTGCAGGGCTGGAAGTCTCCGAATCCGACGTCTACCGGACGATGATAGAAGCCGGGCTCAGCCAGGCCGAGAGCCGTCTCCGCGTCTGCCCCACCCTCTTTGGGGAAAGACACGCACCCGCCACTCTGGCTTCGGTGACGAACATCGCGGCCTCCGACATGTCCCTGGGGCACGTGGTCCGCTCCTTGTGCCGGGGGGTGATCCAAAACCTGCACGCCATGCTCCCTTCTGGGAACCTGAAGGAAGCCGGGGCCGAGCGGATCGTGGCCAGCGGAAGCGGGCTCTGCCGGAACGAAGTGATGAAGCAGGAAGCGGAGAAGGCCTTTGCGCTCCCCGTGGTCCACGGCCAAGTCGCCGATGCCGCCTTGGGGGCGGCTTACGTGATGCTGAAGAGGAGTCCCCGGAGGGACCTTGGAGGTCATCTAGTCCAGCCCCTTGCTCGGGCAGGAGACCCTGTCCCCCTTTCAGACAAGTGACTGTCCAGTCTCTTCTTTAAAAAAAAACCAACATCCAGGGTTGGAGCATCCGCCAGCTTTGAAGTCAAGCCATTCCGCTGATAAATTAGAGAACAGAATAGAATAACCGAGTTGGAAGGGGTCTTGGAGGTCATCTAGTCCAGCCCCCTCCTCGATCAGGAGACCCTATAGCATTCCGGGCAAATGACTGTCCAGTCTCTTCTTAAAAACCTCCAGGGTTGCAGCACCCGTGACTTTTGAAGCCGAGCCGTTCTGCTGATTAATTGTTCTCGCTGTCAGGAAATTTCTCCTTAGTTCCACATGTTGCTTCTCTCCTTGATGAGTTTTCCCTAGAGTAGGGATCTACATTAACCTTGGGGACGCGATTGGATTCTGAGGTCAATCAGGAATCATAGGATCTTAGGCACAAAGGGCTGGAAGGGACCTTGGAGGTCATCTAGTCCAACCCCCTGCTCGGGCAGGAAACCCTATATACCATTTCAGACAAATGGCTGTCCAGTCTCTTCTTAAAAAGTTCCAGTGTTGGAGCATTCACTGCTTCTGGAGGCAGGTTGTTAATAATAATAATAAGGTCGGAAGGGACCTTGGAGGTCATCTAGTCCAACCCCCTGCTCGGGCAGGAAACCCTATACATTCCGGACAAATGGCTGTCCAATCTCTTCTTAAAAACTTCCAGTGTTGGAGCATTCACAGCTTTTGCAGGTAGGTTGTTAATAATAATAATAATAATAATGTTGGAAGGGACCTTGGAGGTCATCTAGTCCAACCCCCTGCTCGGGCAGGAGACCCTATACCATTTCAGTTACAAATGGATGTCCAGTCTCTTCTTAAAAACCTCCAGTGTTGGAGCACCCACCACTTCTGGTGGCAGGTTGTTCCACTGGTTAATTGTTCTAACTGTCAGGAAGTTTCTCCTTAGTTCTAGGTTGCTTCTCTCTTTGGTTAGTTTCCATCCGTTGCTTCTTGTCCTGCCTATTCTGGGGAGGGTGGGAAGGGACACCTCCCCTTTCAGAATAAAGATGACACCTCAGCAGGAAGGCCGAGAAAGGGCTGCTTCGGGTGCCAAAGTCGAATTCTGCCAGCCGGATGTTTGGGGAATCTCGTTTGAGTCTTAATTGGGAGGAAGTATCCATAGAACGGCAGCGAACCTATGAGGAGGTGATAAGCCGCCTGAGAAAGCCAAGGGAATTCATCAAAACAATTAAAAAATGAAAATTAGAATATTTCGGACATGTGATGCGACACCCAGAAAAATACGGCATACTCCAATTTAATCCTCCAGGGAAGTGGTGGCGAACCTATGGCACGGGTGCCAGAGGTGGCACTCAGAGCTCTCTCTGTGGGCACACGCACCATCGCCCCAGTCCTAGGCCTTCAGCTGGGTTTTATAAAACCTTTTCGCTTTAGGCCTCCGCCGCCATGTGCAAAAAAAAAAAAGGTTCAATCAATCAATTTCAACTTCTCGCGGGGAAAAAAAAGATCTTGCAAAGTTGGAATTGATTGATTGAACTTTTTAGTCCCACCCAGTCTACCGTTAGCACCGCAGCCACGCCCAGCCAATAGGCCACGCCCAGCCAATGGGCCACGCCCAGCCGGCACCCGACGATGCATAAGTGGGTTTTGGGTTGCACTTTGGGCACTCGGTCTCTAAAAGGTTCGCCGTCACTGCCCTAGAAATTCGTAGCCCCTTCCCACGGCATTGCCCAGGACTCTGGTTTCTTCCGGAATGTGCCGAGGAAGAAGAGCCCCCCCCCTTTGCCCCTAACGTACTTGTCTTTTGTGATAAGTGTCTGGATGAAATTTCAGCACCCAGCATTAAAATGCAACCTAGCGTCGAAGGGAAAGAGAATTTAAAAAAAAAGCAAAAACAAATGAAAAGTGGACCGAAAACAAATACACATTAAACCAATTTATAAGAAAGACGATTTCTTGACTTTCTTTTAGGACACAGCTAAATAATACTGGAGTGCCTTCTCTCTTGAGTGCAATAGTGACGTTACCTAGTTGGGTCATGAAACGTCTGCAAGAAAACAGCTGAGCTTAGAAAACATCCAGGACCCCACAGTCCTCCTCCTCCTCCTCTCCACAAATCCCCCTCCCTCCTAGCTCTGATGATGTCTCCCAGTTGGATCATGAAATGTCTGCAAGAAAACCCCCAAGCTCGGAGTGGGCCAAGGACCTCACAGTCCTCCTCCTTCCTTCTCCTCCTCCTCCTCCTCCTCCTTGCTCTGATGACGTTCCCCAATTGGGTCATGAAATGTCTGCAAGAAAACCCCCAAGCTTGGAGTGTGCCAAGGACCCCAAAATCCTCTCCTCCTCCTCCTCTCTCCTAGCTCTGATGATGTCCCCCAGTTGGGTCATGAAATGTCTGCAAGAAATCCCCCCCCCCGAGCTCGGAGTGCGCCAAGGACTCCACCATTGAACCCTGAGCCACAAAGATTGTCTTCTATTGAGACTGCACGTCTGCTGTTCCATTTTCCTCCTGAAAGTTTTCTTCCCTTGCTAGGGAAGGGTTATGCCAGACATGTCAAACATATGTCAAATTTTTAGGTCATCCCGGCCGGTACTAGAGGGCTGGGCCCGTCAACAAGGGCTAGATGGCACCTGGGAAGGACGAGGGTGCGAATTCTCTCAACCTATGTGGCCTGTCTTTTTATGGCAGACATGTCAAACGCAAGGCCTGGGGGCTGGATGCGGCCCGCGAAGTGGTTTCATGTGGCCCCCGAAGTCATCCTGGAAACAGTGAGGGAACGGCCCCCGCTGCCTTGGCCCTGGCCCAGGCCGGCCGGGAGCCAATGTACACTTTTGTGGTGGCCATCTATGCTGAAACGCATTCAGTCTTAGCTCCACAAGGCCGTCCGGAAACAGCGAGGAACCAGCCCCTGCCGCGTCGGCCCCGCCCCCTGGGTGCATGCTGGGGAGGGGTCCCCCTTTGTGAGGAATGAAGAAATGCACCACGCCTTGGCACTTGCCCCGGTCCCACCCCCTTCTGCCAGAGACCCCCAGATCTGTCCCACTCCTGCCCAGGCCCCCACAGGCACCCTTGACACGAATGATGTAGAGCTGGCCACGCCCACCCAGTAGGCCACACCCACTCCATCCACGCCCACCCAGTAGGCTGCACTCACCCTGGCCACACACCCCCCAGGGCAACTGCAATGCTGATGCGGCCCTCAATGAAATTGAATTTGACACCCCTGGGTTATGCCTACCTTGGTCAAGGGCTTGGGGTAGGAGACCCCCCCTCCCAAACCTAGGATCCCATGAATTTTGGGCCTGGCAATCGAATTCCTGGTGGTTTTTTTTTTCGCTTTCCCCGGTGCCGAGCCAGCTTTTGAACGTGTGAACGTGACAGGAAGTAATTGGATGAAATTTCTTCCGAAACTGCCTCGATGGTCCACGTTTTTTCCAGTAAATTCGGATGACTCAAAAGCAAATTGCAGAGGCCTTGAACAGCTCTGAGCAATTAGCCCGGTCCTTAAAAGCTGTTCAGGTTTTTTGTTGTTGTTGTTTTTCCCTGTGACTTAATTGTGGGAAATTGAGCAAAAAGAAACAATCTCACTGTTGTTTATTGAGCCAAAATAAAAGCCCAGACCCCATTGTGGGTTCCTTTAAGCCAGAAATCGATTGCAATTTTTTTGTTTTTTTGAGCCAATGGACGTATTTGAAGCATTTGGGTGGGCTGCTTCCCAAAATCCGAAGGGGGGGGATCAGAAAAGTCAAAATGGTGGCTGCAACGTGCCCCTTTTTAACCCTAAATCCCCCCCCCACAACACACAGGGAACCTTTTGGGTCAGAAAGCAGTAACTGTTAAAAGTGGCCAGCTCAAATGCACCCATTGCTCAGAAGGCGAAACTGATCAGGTATCCATCACAGTTTTTAAAAGTAAGGAATGGTACACAACAGTGATGGCGAACCTTTTAGAGACCGAGTGCCCAAAAACTGGCCCTACCCCGTTCCACCCCTTACCCCGCCCCCATGCTGCCGGCCCACAGGACCACTCACCACCTCCAGGACCCACTGCAGATCACCCAGGCAGCCCAACAGCGCCATGGCGGCCTCCAGGGCCCTCTGCCCACGCCCCGCAGCATCAACTGCATGCGATGGGGCGTAAGGGCAGAGTCTTGTCTACACTGCCGGTCTGTCGTGTCCTTGGCTGTGTTGCTCTGCGTGGGCCACTCTCCTCCAGGGGGGCTGCTGGTGAGGAGGGGGTCACGAGGGGAGGCAAGGCTGAGGCAACGGCACGGGTGCCCACAGAGAGGGCTCCGAGTGCCGCCTCTGGCACGCGTGCCATAGATTCGCCACCATTGGTATACAATATTCTGAAGGAGATTGATCTGAAAAGATTTATGGGCAGATAGCACAATGTTAGATTCTTTGATGATCTTTTCAGGGCATTTTCCAAATACAGATAGTCCTTTAGAATAGAATATAGAATAGAATATAGAATACAATTAGAATAGGATGGGACGGGATAGAATAGAATAGAATAGAATAGAATAGAATGGAATGGAATGGAATGGAATGGAATGGAATAGAATAGAATAGAATAGAATACTGTAGAATAGAATAGAATAGAATAGAATAGAATAGAATAGAATAGAATAGAATAGAATAGAATAATGAATGGAATAGAATAGAATAGAATAGAATAGAATAGAATAGAATAGAATAGAATAGAATAGAATAGAATAATGGAATGGAATGGAATGGAATGGAATGGAATGGAATGGAATGGAATAGAATAGAATATAGAATAGAATAGAACAACAGAACAGAACAGAACAGAATAGAATAGAATAGAATAGAATAGAATAGAAAGGGACCTTGGAGGTCTTCTAGTCCAGCCTCTTAACTTACAACAGTTCGTTTAGTGACTCTTCGAAGTTACAACAGCACTGAAAAAAGTGTCTTAATGACTGTGTTTTACACTTACGACCGTTGCAGCATTCCCCCCCCCATGGTCACGTGATCAAAATTCAGACGCTGGGCAACTGACTCATATTTATGACGGTCGCAGTGTCACATGATCCCCTTTTGCAACCTTCTGACAAGCAAAGACAATGGCTGGAAGCCCGATTCACTTAACAACCGGGTTACTTACTTAATAGCTGCAGTGATTCACTTAACAACTGTGGCAAGAGGGGTCATTAAATGGGGCAAAACTTATTGAATGAATGTCTCGCTTAGCAACCGTGCTGGTCGTAAGCCGAGGAACTTACCTGTATAAGAAATGAATTTGCAGGGACTTTTCCGTTTTATCATTAGGCCTAAACAGATTTCATATTTCCAATTTCCGACGCAGAACTAATGCCGCATTTCCATCCTGTGTTTTGTTTTCGAAAGAAATCTGTTTGTATTGTCGTGCTTGTTGTGTGTGTGTGTGTGTGTGTGTGTGTGTGTTTTAAATTCCTTGGAGAGTTTTTATGGCTATGTTTTATTTCCCAGCAATATTTTGCAGAGAACTCTGGCAACAGCAAAAAAAAAAAAAAGGGGGGGGGGTTGCTGATATTGTAGCTTCCTTGACAGACTGTGTGAAGTGGAAGTGAGGTCACATCCAGAGATGGTCTGGTTTTTTCCTACAGTTTAAAAAAAAACAATAAAAACCAGACCCTAAAACCCAGTGAAGCTAAACACAATTTCCTGGACATTTCCAAAGCCGTTGCTAGAAGCCAAATTAGCCTTTGTTATCTTTCTCTTCCTGGAATTAAAATTCCAGGCTGTAAAAGATTCAAAACTTTGAATTTCCTATTTCCCAAGAGTGTGCCATATAACAGAATAACAGAGTTGGGAGGGACCTTGGAGGTCTTCTAGTCCAGCCCCCTTGCTCAAGCAGGAAACATATACCATGCCAGGCAAATGGTTGCCCAATCTCGTCTTAAACACCTCCAGTGATGGAGAAGGAAGGAAGGAAGGAAGGAAGGAAGGAAGGAAGGAAGGAAGGAAGGATAACAGAGTTGGAAGGGACCTTGGAGGTCATCTAGTCCAACCCCCTGCTCAGGCAGGTAACCCTATACCACTTCGGACAGATGGCTGTCCAGTCTCTTCTTAAAAACTTCCAGTGTTGGAGCATTCACCACTTCTGGAGGCAGGTTGTTCCACTGATTAATTGTTCTCAAAGGAAGTTTCTCCTTAGTTCCAGGTTGCTTCTCTCCTTGATTAGTTTCCATCCGTTGCTCCTTATCCTGCCTTTCAGGTGCTCTGGAGAATAGCTTGACTCCCTCTTCTTTGTGGCAGCCCCTGAGATACTGGAAGACTGCTATCATGTCCCCCCTCATCCTTCTCTTCGTTAAACTAGACATCCCCAATTCCTACAACCGTTCTCCATCTATTTTAGCCTCCGGACCCCCTGATCATCTTTGTTGCTCTTCTCTGCGCTCTTTTTCAGAGTCTCAACATCCTGGATGATCCATCACTGGAGGTTTTTCAAGAAGAGATTGGACAATCTTCTGTCTGAAACAGTATAGGGTTTCCTGCCTGAGCAGGGGGTTGGACTAGAAGACCTCCAAGGTCCCTTTCAGCCTTATGATTCTATTGTAATCAGTGGAAGGGCTTGCCTTCAGAAGTTGTGGGTGCCCCAACACTGGAGGTTTTTGAGAAGAGATTGGATAACCATTTGTCTGAAACGGAATAGGGCTTCCTGCTGGAGTAAGGGGTTGGACTAGAAGACCTCCAAGGGTCCCTCCCGACTCTGTTATGGCTGTTATTTTGTTAAATGTGTTCGGTTGTTTTCTTCCTTTTGCAAAAAGCTTTACGAGCCTCCTGGGAACAGCCATCATTTCTGAATTTGCTTTCTCCATTATCGTATTAGTCAAACCCAGGGTTTTTCTTCGGAGTTACTGCTTGCCTGTCAAATCTTCCTTGACATGGTCTACTCCACCAGTAAATGATTCCAGAAGAGGGGAAAAAAGCTGATTTATTTTACCCCCCCCCCCCAAGGCAACGCCTAAGGCAGGACGTCCCTCGCAGAAAATATTAAAGACCGTCCAGAATAAGGTGCAGTGAGCAAGAGGCAAACCTTGGCTACCTCTGTAAGTCCTGGGGATTTATTTTTTTTTAAACCAAATTTTGATTTGAAAAATTCGGTCTGGGTTTGGCTAAGGGATGCTGGTGTCCATCACATTCCCTTATCGGAGTGATGCCGTTCGAATTTATCTAATTCTGATCTAGGGGCATAAAGCTAAAAGCTTTTTTAAAAAAAACAGTGAAAAATGGAAAGGGGAGACGTTTTGTATTAACCCAACAATTTAAAAAAAAAATTAAATTAGAAGAGGTTTGCAACCTATCGTTGCTTGGTCGTAACTTGGAGAAGAATGATGGAATTAAGGCAAGCCAAAGCCATCCGGTTGAAAACGAGGTTTAGGCGTTCAGTCCAATTTTTAAGAAAAGACTGGACAACCATTTATTTGTGATGGAATAAGGACTACTGTCCTCAGCCGGGGGTTAGACTAGAAGACCTCCAAGGTCCCTCTCAGACTTAGGATTCTATGATTTTAAACATTTGATGATTAAGACAAAAATGGACCTATTTGTGATCCAATCTTCTGTAGGGATGTTTATTCAAGCTTTTGCAGGCAAACCGAAGAAAGAATTCAAAACGATCGCGTCGTTTGTTTGCTATTCAATGCAACTTAATTTAATTTTTAAATAAGAGGCGTTATTTTCCCTCTTTTCGTGCCGGAATATTAAATGAATATTCCAAACCAAACACGATCCAAAAGCAGAAACGTTTTATTACTG